AAACTGCTGCTGTTGCCGGGGTGCGCGACCTGGGTGGTTCGGGGTGGTGCGTGAGCATGGAGGGGAGAAGGCACTGGCTTTGTTTATTTTCTAATCGAGCGTTTCATAGGCAAGCCAAATTCCGTCACTTAGGATCAGAGTGTGTAAATATCCCTGGCCAGGAAACCTTTCCACTCCACTCCTGCCCCCAACACACGTAGACAGGAACAATCTCATGTATTTCTTTGAAGTTATACGGAGACCTGTAACCTGGAGAGAAAGGCTAAAAATAAAACGTAGCTGGTTACAGGAGAGGGTTTGGTCCTAGAGCTGAAATGAAGAAACAGCCTAGCCCCTTCCTATTACTGATTCCTCAATCACCCTTATCTCAGAGACTGGTATTAAAACAGCCTCATGTTGATAAACGATCAACCCCCTTGCCGTGTGGTGCCCTGCTCTGCTTCTTAAGAGGAAAGAAAGAAAAAAATCATAGAAAACCCCTATCCCGGTGAAGTAAAGTGCGTATTTGTAGCTGCCAGTAAATCCAGGCAGCTTTTATATCGAAATGCTCTGCGCCTGAGGCCAAGTCATGCTGCTAAATATTGCTGACCACTTTTTCTTTTATGGCTTTCATGTCACTTAGCTATTGAAAGTAAGATGGATTTGTACCATTTCTTCACCCTGCTCTGCTCTCCCCACACCCCAGGTCTGCCCAGAGAGGCCATTGGAGGAAGAGCGCCACGTGACAGAGGGGTGCCAATGTTATTCTCCAAGGGTGTCAAGACCCTGTCAGTTTGTGAAATAAATATTGGGAAACAACGAAATGCAAAAAGCGACCTACTACGACAGCTCTGCAATCTATGGTGCCTATCCCTACCAAGGAGCAAATGGTTTCACTTATAATGCGAGTCAGCAGCAATATCCTCCATCTTCATCACTTGTGGAAACTGAGTACCACCGCCCCGCGTGCTCCCTCCAGTCCCCTGGCAGCTCCGTGTCCCACCACAAAGCCAATGACATCAGTGAGAGTTGCATGAGGACCCTCCCCAGCCAGCCTCTCCAGCCCCCCAGCCTCACTGACCCGCAGGCCCCGTCGCAGCCGCCTCCAGCCCAGCAGGCACAACCTCCACCTCAGTCTTCTGCCTCACCATCTCAAAATGCCAGCAGCAACTCTGCTTCAGCCAACACCACCAAGAGCCCGGCTCTTAACTCACCCACCGTGTCCAAACAGATATTCCCATGGATGAAAGAGTCTCGGCAAAACACAAAGCAGAAAAACAGCAGTTCCAGTTCAGGTACGAAACATGCTCTCCCCACTGTTCCTGGGTACCCCAGGGCTGGCCATGTATCTATTGGGGAGGAGGGCAGCTCAGCCCACCTTCATTTTGGGGAGGACAGGGAGAGGGTTTTTCCTCTCCAAGTTGACCCCCCCGAGCTTTTGGTAAGAGGCTGCACCACTTGCAAGGGGAGCTCAGTGGAAAAAACACCCCTGAAAAACTTTCCCAGCCTTGAAGGATCACAAAGTGATTTTGTTTCCTAAACCACTTGTGCCCTCCTGCATCTATCACATTTCCTAAGCAATCTCCCCTCCAGTAAATTATGTCAGTGTAGAGCAGCCCAGGCCTTAAGCCAGAGGCCTGTCCCAAGTACTTTGTTGGCACAGTGCTGCTAGATTAATAAGACAGTGACCTATCTCTGCTGAAGTGTAACAAGAATAAAATAACTCATAATCACATGCAGGCGGGATCAATGCCCTGCATGCAGTCAGAACCTCTTCCTATTTTAACAAGTTGATTGGCAAAGTTACAAGCCTGATAAACAAGAATAAGTTTGGAGTGCCATAAACTTCAGTCCATAAAATGTTAATTGAGGGTCTGAAGTGTGTATTAATGCTTTTATTACTTGAGGAGGCCCAAACTGGTAACACCAGTGCTAACTCCAATGCTCAGGAGTTGGACTTGTATTAACCTCTCCCTCTTTTTCTCTTAAATGTGCCTTGGAAATAGAGTAAAAAACTTTGGCCAATATGTTTTCCAGTATGCTTTTTAAAGCCCTGATAATATTGCTGTTTACAGCCTTCCATATCATGTATTTATTTTATTAAAAAGCAGTAACATTTAAATATGTCTGTATGCCTATATCCAAGCCTAGCCACCACATGTTTTTCTTATGTATATTATAACTCCCAATTGCTACCTTATGTTTATGCGATATGCTAGACATGATAGAAATACTATACTGTCAGTTCCATGCTTATGTGTTTAATGTTATACTGTAGATACCTTATTTTCAGGCATCTCTAGCTGATGTGTGTATATCAGGGTTTCAGATCTTTACAGCAATGTAGAGCAGCTAGTTCTTGAAGTCCCTGATCCCACTATGTTAGCAGAGAAATAGGTTCACCTTTAGAGTTTCTCAACCCCACTCTGTTTCCCTGAAATTTTCTTACTCCTGTACACAAAGCCCAAGATATGCTGTAAGTTGTCATTCTTAAAGAAAGCAAGTAGTGCCATAGTGACACTGTGAGGTGAAGGAAGCCTATCGAGTCTTGTAGCTTGGCACAACAGACTTCGTGCCATGGGGGAGTACTCATTGCACATGTAGGTGTCCATCTCATGTCTGAGAGCTGGACTTTCCAGGCACTGGTGTTGTTGGTCGTTGTCTCTGGTTGTTGTGTCTGGGTTTGCCATGCTGATTGTGTTCTTTGTGTGATTTGCATAGGTGAGAGTTGTGCTGGTGATAAAAGCCCTCCAGGGCAAGCCTCCTCTAAGCGAGCCCGTACAGCTTATACAAGTGCCCAGCTGGTAGAACTGGAAAAGGAGTTCCACTTCAATAGGTACCTTTGCAGGCCAAGAAGGGTAGAGATGGCCAATTTGCTCAATCTCACAGAAAGACAAATAAAAATCTGGTTTCAGAACCGCAGAATGAAGTACAAAAAGGATCAAAAGGGCAAAGGCATGATGACCTCTTCAGGAGGACAGTCCCCAAGCAGAAGCCCGGTCCCTCCAGCTGCTGGGGGATATCTAAACTCTATGCATTCTTTAGTAAACAGTGTTCCCTACGAGCCCCAGTCGCCTCCACCATTTAACAAGCCTCATCAAAACACCTATGGCATCCCTGCATCGTATACCACTCCTCTTAATAATTGCCCACCTCCTCAAAAGAGATACACGGGGACGGCAGCTGTGACACCTGAATACGATACTCATCCTCTTCAAGGCAATGGTTATGGAAATCCACATATACAGGGAAGCCCCGTCTATGTAGGGGGCAACTATGTGGAGACCATGACCAATTCTGGGCCTTCCATCTTTGGTCTAACTCATCTCCCTCATCCTCCCTCTGCCAACATGGATTACAGCGGGGCTGGGCCAATGGCCAACAATCACCATCATGGACCTTGTGATCCACATCCAACATACACAGACCTTACCGCTCACCATCCTTCTCAGGGAAGAATTCAGGAAGCGCCCAAACTCACCCATCTGTAAGAAACAGGAGTCACTAAGTGGAACACCAAGCTCCAACTTTTGGAAAGTACTCACCCCTTCCCTTCTCTCTTCCCTCACCTTCCCCTTGTGCCCTCCCCTTCTTGTTTCTTCTGTTTGTTTTGTTTTGTTTCCTTTGGTAAAAGCGTTTTCTAGTTTATGTGACGTAGCAATATTTGTTGCTTGAATTGCTCTATAGTTTCACTAGTGGATATTTATCTTCTGGAACTGTAGCCTTGTGTCTCGCTTTGGGAGTATACAGAGGCTTTATACTTTACCTTCTACACTTTTATCAAAACAGGGTATATGAACAAATTTTCTATAAAAGGAATTCTTAAATGTGAATTTGTTCGTACATGATTGATCCCACGGGGAAGCAATTTTTTTTATTGCACTTCTTTTAAATAGCGAGAAAGACATCAAAAGCGCTTGGACAGGGACTCCCTGGACAATTATTAATACGTGTAAGTCTTTCAATGTGTGTATGCTGGTGAACATTCAGATTTATTTATATTTTTTTTTGCAAACATTGAATAATCTAAGTGTTTAAAATTTTATTTATCCCCATTTGTTCATATTTATATATATATAAAAATTCTGTACCCTGAATATTCAGGAGGTATTTACCTGGCCATGTGTTAGATGGCATATCGGCACGTGTAGGAAATATCACTTGAAAGGAAACTATAACTCCTTTTATTAAAAATGGTGATAACGATGATTACCATGCAATAAAATCTGGGAAAAAAAGATCACGGTTTGAATACTTTATGCTTGTAACATCGAGCTAGGCGGAAAGCGTGTGAAGCTGAAAAGGCTAGATTTGTTTTGAAAGTTATACATTCCTTGCTGCTCACGTTCTGAAAAAAAAAAATAAATAAAGTTTTT